AAAGTCCCAAAATTTCAACTTCTTCCCCAGGTAGGTTTGATTATACCCTGCTACACACGGCCTGTTGCAACTGGACCACGCCCCTTCAAAACGGCAAGATTACAAAGTATCAGACTCGAGGATCAAAAGCAGTATTGGTAAGAATATTACACTAAACATAAGTTACATATCTCAGCACCATTGGACATAATAAATTATTTTGTGACCAAGATGTTCAAGAAATCAATCTATACAAACCACACCGAACATCAATAAACAACCGCCTTACCAAATCTCGGAGGATTTGTAACATAAATGGGTTAATAAATAAAGACCATGAAATTTGCAAGAGGACATACAACCTCAAGTCTAGTTACCTGAATGGTGAAAACACCTCCAACTGGCATCGAAAAGGGTTTATCAAGTTGATGGGATTTGGGATGTATGAATCTACAACTTCCATTAGCTTTAAGATAGCCTTCTTTCCAATATTTTCGTTTGGACCTCCAAAGCAGAGAAAGCCGATTCTCGGATAATAGGAATGTCATCTCTAGGGAACTTATTAAAGTAAGCAATTCTGCATGTACAATGAAGTGGTGTCCAATGGGTCTATTAGAAAGAAATAACAAACAGTCCTAACCATGCTCTAAATTTAGCTTACCTCGCAGCTCCATTTCCACAAGTTCTAGAAGTTCCGGGTCATCAACAACATCAACTTTATTGAGGGAACACACCACTGAGGGCACACCCATCTACACCACAAGTAAAAGGTTTACACAATGCAAAACCAAAATAGACGAGCACATAGTTAGTGGAAAAAACATATCTCAAAATATCAAAACTAACAATATTAAATAAGTTAGTGGAAAGACGTAGAAGATTCAAGAAGACAATAGACATTAACTAAATTTATGTGGATAAGTCTAGAACATTGTACATCATATTAGTGAGTGTTGGAAAAGTGATCTAGAAGATGCAAGAATGTTAGGGAAGTTTAGTTCTAGACAATTCCTTATAGGAATGAGTGCATATAAATAGGAGAGACCCCTCACATTGGCAATCCAAGCATCGAAGTGTCTAAGTAAAATAGGGTGTGAGTGTCATATTTAGGGTGTGTTTTGTAATTACTTTCTTAATCTAATAAAATAATTAGCTTTAAGATAGCCTTATTTCCAATATCTTCCTTTGGACCCTCCAAAACAGAGAAAGCCGATCATCGGATAATAGGAATGTCATCTCCAGGGAACTTATTAAAGTAAGCAGCATGTACAATGAAGTGGTGTCAAATGGGTTCATTAGAAAGAAATAACAAGCAGTCCAAACCATGCTCTAAATATGAAGTGGGTCATATTTAGTGTGTGTTTTGTAATTACTTTCTTAATCTAATAAAATAATTATGTTAGTGTGTGTAGCAATTGTACGCCATGCTCTAAATTTAGTTTACCTCGCTGCTTCATTTCCACAAGTTTATAATTATGTTAGTGTGTGTAGCAATTGTACGCCATGCTCTAAATTTAGTTTACCTCGCTGCTTCATTTCCACAAGTTTTAGAAGCTCTGGGTCATCAACAACGTCAACTTTATTGAGGGAACACACCACTGAAGCACACCCACCTGCACCATATTGGCAATCCAAGCATACAAGAGTCCAAGTAAAATAGGATGTGAGTGTCATAGTTAGAGTGTGTTTTGTAATTACTTTCTTAATCTAATAAAATAATTATGTTAGTGTGTAGCAATCGTACTCTGAAAATTTTACATGTAATTCTTCCATGTTCTTCATAACGGCAGTACCAATCCGCAGTACCAATCACAAGTCTTACGTTTGAAATTTCACATATAATTCTTCTATATTCTTTGTAAATTTCACATTTATTTTTCCATGTTATTGGTAACCGCGGACATTTTCTTCCATATCTTCTTCGTAAGGGCGTAGCTAGTTAGGGGCCCCGATCAAATTTTTTCACTCTATTAGTATATTATGCTTAAAAAAATTGTTAAATAATTCAGCCCATACTAATTTATTTAAACTTGTATGTGTATGTATATTTTAATTT